TCTACAACAACGTAGATACTAACGAATACAAGAGATTTTACCTTCGCGGTCACGCAATGCTCGCTTTTTTATACTTTCCTCGCTGTTATTAACAGAGGGAAAGTATTGTCATTACCTTTGTTTTTGCATTTCTCGATGTGCGTTTGGGTTACCTTGAGTTTAAAAATGTAGAAAAATTGGATATTGGTAAACTGTAAATTTTTCAATTTTACTCAAATTTTAACCCTTTGTTGTCCTATGTCGACTGAGACTCGACAGAACTGTACTGAAACCAGAAAATTTGGACTGCAAAAGATTAAGACATAATGTTGAAATAATGCTTCTAACATCAGTAGTCTCAATTTTTTTTTATATCTTGGAGTACCTCCCCTAATTTAAAAAAAAAATACTTTCAAACTATACGGAGAAATATCCAAAAAGACGCAGGACAAATTCTTTTTCTTTTTTAATTGTAATTTCAAATTTTGACGATTAAAAGCAAGAAAATTTAACGCGTCCTGAACTAATATCAGGCGAGTTCTACGAGATACTTGACTTTTTTATTACGTTATTCGCGTGACATATTTAAAATTTAAACGCCGCGACACTGATGCCGACAGTCTCGCGGCGTTTGCAATAGCGTCGTGACGCAAGCACGGGCAGGAATTGTCCAGTCTTGGCGCGTTATTAACTCGACTCGAGTACCGCTCCCAATACTTAAAATCAATTAGCGGTACGCGTCAATTAGAAAGTCGGTCGCGCATCTTCTACCGTCAACTTCTCACTGGCTACGGAACAATGATCAATGTCAGTCGTCGAGAGAAAATACTTATTCGTGACACTCGGGCAACGGATTGGTGGAAACGCAACCCACTGCACAAAATTTTCTGTATGAACATTGACTGTTAGACACGAACTCGCTAGTTGATAGATACTTTCAATTCGTTTTTTATTTTAAATTTTCTAAATTTTCGGAGTACGGTCACTTTGATCTATTCCAAACTTCACAAGGTTTTATAGAAATCGTTTACGCTTTTCGCCAACCACTTATGCTGACTTTTATTCATATAAAGAGACAAGCATATATCAACATTCATTTTTGTCTAAGCAACTTAATTAATTTTAGTAATAACAGCATTATTTTAGAAATAGAAATCTGATAAGAAATCTCCGTAAAGCTGGTGTCAAAGGAAAAATTGTTCGTTCCTAGATGCTCTTTAGTCGTCGTCTCTACAATCTAACAATTTTCTTAATCTATATCATTTATCTTTATTATACCCCTGCACTTACGATTCGCTTTCAAAGAAACGTGCGTGTGCAGATGAATTTTTATGTAGCACGACTTTGTGCGCAGAATTAATACATGATAAAACTAAAATATTTCGGTTTCGATGGAATTATTTATATAAATGTGAAACTATGAAACTATTGAAAATGAAGTCAGAACTCTTAATTATTTATGAGCTTTCATAAAGTGACCTGCTAGTATCACACAACCGTCATTTTCACTTAAGGGATTAAAAAATAAATCTTAAACATTACGCGTCCTTTCACGAATTTTTATTAGATAACAACCTCGAGTCGGGGATGTCAGAAACCGGTCCAGACCATGCAACAGAAGAAGCTGATGACCTAACCCGTCCACCAAAGCGAAAAGCTTTCCAAGCGTCGATCAGACGAATCTTTTCCTCGCCATCTATTGATCCCACTGACCTCGCCAGAATGTTTCATCTAGGAGGACGATTTATAGAGCGTGGCCTCCTCGGGAGGCGATGATGAGAAGGTCGACGTGGGGAGGGGGCTCGAGGAAACGAGTTTGCGGGAAGAGATAGGTGGCCGCGATTGACGACATCGCGACGACACATCCAACTGATCGATAGTCCTTTGGTCGAGGAGGTAGTACAAGATTGTCGACTTCGATGGCGCGTTATTATGCAAATCGAGACGGAAGTCCCTTCTGAACTCTTACTCCTGCTGCGGGCTCGTAATTGGCCGTTTCCGCCCTCGGAACCACCATGGAAATCGTCCGTCCGAAATTTATACTTGCATCTGATGCATTGTGTGCACGAACGTTATTATTGCGTGAACCGATCATTTTCATGGCCATTCGGATAATTTAGAATTTGTATACAACCTTGAAGATTTAAAAAACAAATGAAGGTCCAGCAGGGAACATTATGTATGAGAAACATATTAGATATTAATAAATCATAATTAATAATAAAAATATTATATATACATATGAATGTATATAGAATCCCAAAATTGTTTCCAAAAAAGAAAGGGAAAACTTTAAGTCGAAGCAACGGCGTCGCATCGCGACTACCTAGGCGTCGTTAGGGTATGAATGAAAGAGAGAAAAAAGAATGAAAGTGCGAATGGATGGAATACAAATGTGAATGTTGTATCGAATTTTCCTTTCGGAAAAAGGAAAACGGGTAGTGTGAACCTAGGAAGCGAACCGTAAAGACTTACCACCGTATTCCATTGTATATTATTTTTAACTTTTTTATTAAACTTTGCTTTATCCAGATGCTTAAAGCATCTGTGTTCATTATATTACAGCAACATCACGCAACTCTACTTTAATTGATCCTACATATACATATGTATGTGTGGGTACAACTGTACATTGCTTGCAAGATCTATAATCATCGTATTTATAACATCAAAAAGTATATTTACCAATTTCTGGTAAAAATCATAAAAATTTAAGATTCCTACAGGAGTAAATTTTTTATTTGTTCATTGTAAAATATTTAATTCTAAAGTTCAAATCATAATCTTTATTAACAAATAACCGATAAACGACTATTTATCTTTAATTCATCGATTGAAACTCGTATTTCAATAAGAATTCTTCAAATATTTGTTGTCCAGTATCCCTGAAAGTTATACATGTATCGATATATGTATATTGAGTTCTATAAATATCGCTATACAAATTTGTGACCGGTAATGAACCCCTATATCCAATTTATACCATATCTAACCATGATCGATAAAAACTCCTTCTCCTACATGTTACGCTAATTTGCACCCGAACAACCACGCAGAAAATGGGAACTGTCGTCTTGTAAACTTTTTGAAACAACGACTCAAAAATATCGTCCCCTTCATGGCTAATAACGAGAATCGTTCGTGCTTTCTAACGACGCGGATAGAGGAAAGTATTCAAGATTGCTCAGATGCAAATTGCAGGATAGATTTTTGTAATAAATTCCGTACACAGTGAACCGGCAATAAATTTTTCGTGTGAAATCCGTGGCGATCGATTTCACCATGCATCAAATTGAGAAAACGATATCGACGTTGCAATAAGAAACAAACGTACACACACTTAGAAAATTCTAGAGAAACATTTTCGCAACTATTCACTATAACGAGCTTTCAGTTGGAAAGTGTGTAAATTTTTCATACTAAACCTACATGCTTGATTTCACTGTTCCATAGTTGTTCGTACTATGGGTAGGGCAACAATTTGCTTAGTTGCACTATTTAATCTAATTTATTATGTTATACAGTTTGTATTGTTCTATGTCTTTAAAACATGCGTGACGCATCACAATTCTCGTTAGAGATCATTGTCACACATTCATGACAGCGATGATTTTTATTTTATGTTCGTGTATAGTTGTATACCAATGAAGTCTGAACTATAAACTAGAATCACGTAGCAGTAACATGTTATTCCGAATAGGCAGTTGACCTATTTAGTACACTTTATTTGTACATAGCAGAAGGGCTGCACTTCATTATGACTCGTACGGCTGTCGACGAAAGACTTATGCGAACAACCGTAGCTTGGTCAATAGAAATTCCACAATGATACTTATATAAAAGTACTTATTCGGTTTGATAATTTTAGATATTTAGTTTATCTGAAAATACACGGTTACCTTAGATTCCTTAATAGATAATAAATTATTTTCTCACTTATTGTTGATATAGATCTACTTTAATCGTTAAAGAATAGAGAATTGGCTTTAATTAATTATACATCTTGATCATTAGAAATTAGGTTACCCTCTCCTATACTATATATAAACGTTACCTATAATTTGTTTAAAAATTTTTTAAGATCCTTTGAATGCGTTGATTTAATAAATTCAATTATAATATTGTAGATTCTGATTAGACTCAAAACGAAGAAAATTAAATAACTATTCCGAGACTGAACTTCTTTCTCTTGTAACCCATTCAGCCTAAACTGCAGGTCCGACTCGTAGTGTTCTCAGTCTCAGAAGTCAGAATGACGATGCAGTTCGTCCACACGAACCATAAAATAAATATATAGGGGAACGTGTTGTACCTAGAGCACAATGTACCTAGGAACACTTTTAATTTTCCAGTTAATACTGCCATTTAGCAGCGATTATTAAAATTTCATCATTAGTTTGCTGTTGCTTTCTAATATTATTTTGTTTTGCGTAGTATTCGCAAATGTTATGGTTGACATTGGACGATATGAAATCAAAAAATTCTAAAGATTATTAAAATATACTTTTGTTACTATCGTCCGTAACAAAATCAAACCTCACTGTCAAATAAAAGACAAGATAGCAGGTATTTGAATTATTTCAATACTTTGTTTAACTTTGAACATTTAATTCATGGTTAAATATTATTGAATAATTGTAATTACAGTAGCTACAAAACTATATTTTAATAACCTGTTTAATTTGTCGCTTTCGGATGATCTAATGTCAAGTTATCGTGTCAACTATGGAAAAAGAAGACTTTCATGTTGTTAGTATCAATGAAAAGAAGATGATGAAAAGTAAACAAAAAAATTTTGTTAATAAATTTAACACGTCTACGATTATATATAAAAACATTGACATTTCACAATGACTTATTGTGTGAAATAATATTCTTAAAGTCTTTCTTCTTTGCGAACGTACAAGAACAGCTCCATAAATCCAATAAAAGTTTCTTTAATCGCAATTCAGTTGATAAGTAAAGAGGGAAATTTCGAGAGATTTGCGAAGAAAGTTGTGAGGAATGCGAAAAGCACTGACCTTGAGAAGCCTCCGGAAGTAGGGACTGCACGCAGAGAGGACGACCTTGTGCGCGGTAAAGCTGCTACTGTCGCATGCCAGTGTCACGTCCACGAAATCCTCCTCGTCCCTCAGATGACGAAATGAACTGAGGATGCTCGAGTGGAAGTCGTTCCACCTGAGTGAGTACTGTTGCTCGCCGCTCGACGAGGACGAAGAGGCCGCCATGGCGTCCGTCCCCTCGGGACCCACGGCCGAGGGCACCAGAGGTGCTATCGTGCTCACTCTGGCACCCCACGAGGACACCTTCACTTCACCCTCTCGTCCCGTTTCACCACGCACCCCTCTATCCCTATCAACCCCTATTCAACACAGCCTGGACCGCGTCCTCGCGCAACTGCTTTGGTCAAACTCGCGCAGCGAGTCGCACGTGATCAAGGATTTTCTCGAGGTCACCTCGTTATCACTCCACCGAATTACTGGTTTCTTTCGATCGGTTCACCTCTTCCCGCCAATGGTATTCGAATAGAAAATTCTTTGGTAGCCTTGTTCTCGTCGTTGGATCAATGACTGGCTGCCGATCGTAATTCCCGGTCTTCTTCTGTTTGTTCTTGGTCCACTGGTGTGTTGTCGTTGACCAGATTCCTTCCACGCGTCGTAGAACGTGGATTGGCGTGTCGAATGGTCTTGGTACCCTATTCAGGTGTAAGGAAATTTCGAGTCTACCGACACGGTGGAACTCATAGTAATGACATCGCGATACCGACGAGAGGACGTTATCCGCCGCTGTCGGAGAATGCTGAGACAATGAGCCCCCGATCGGTTCTGAAAACAATGCGGTGTCTATTGTGAGCTTCGTGCTCGCCGACACATGACGGCCTATCATACATTTTTGAAGACCGATCGATAAACACCCCGGAAGATTTGCATTGCACGCTTTAGATTCGATCTCGCGCGTCGAAACGTCCGAACTCCGCGACTACGTCATCCGACGGCTCGCCGGATAAATATCCGATATATCGCGAAGTGAAGGACTCTAGTAAGTTAGGAATTATATAGAACGATGCTCGAAAATGGCCACTTTTGGTATCTAACGTGAAAGAAAAATGTTTTAGTAAGTCTATGTCTGCTAACACTTTGAGTGCTATGGACGCATATATGCCATACATGTTTCATGTCAACTATAAAACCACCCGAATATTTTCCAATGTGATATATCTGATAATATATTCTAATACGATATACGTCCTTTTAATAAATTTAATTAGCAACATGCAAAAAATGAAATTTTTCGAGTCATGATAATTATAACACGTAAGGTATACATGTGTACCATTTATCTCAATTAAGAAATGACATACATCTGTGTCTAGAGATATTGCCCTTTTTAACGATAATTTTATATACATAAAGTGTTCCAAAAGCAATATTTTATCTTCATTTGCAGTTTAAATATTGAAATAAAAATCCAGAAAAATAAATTTCTAGAAATTCGATGCATAGTTTGCTGCCTCCAAACATTTGAAATGTTTAAAAAATCAGGTTCTCAACAAGTAAACTAACTACGCTATGGATGAACATTTCTCTTTAATGTCAATAAAACCGCAGTTTCCCTCATTGCTATCTCCTTTATGTGTTTGGTAATTACGAAACAATTGAAATGCTCTTTTGTAAATAGTCAACGTGCACTTGGCGAAAGTTATGATCCACATAATCAACTGTACTTGGTATTCGTGGAATCATTCACAAATTCAAAAAGGATTTCACTTTCCACAGTGCAAAACAAAGAATATTGTATCGCAATCGTAGCCGTTCCGAGTTTGCTGATTGGGTTGTAGAGCAATTTGAAATTGATCCTAATTTTTATCAAAAAATCGTATATTCGGATGAAGCTCATTTTTGAAGCTCACGAACACTGAATGTATTGAAAATAAAACACTGCACTCCACACATAATTGTTATTTGTTATATTTCAAAGTAAAAAAGAAAAACCTGTTCTATCTGAAATAGTTACTGATTTATTTCACTTTGACATCGTATCGTTCCTATTGAAAAACCTTTTATTTAGTGGGGGTACAATGTGCTAAAATGGCCATTTTCGAAAAATGTCATTAACAGATGGGTGACTTACCTTGTACGCAAAAAATATAACGATCCCCAGGGCGTTTCCTCGTTTCGCCTCACCCTTCGCCGTCCTGGTACTCTTCCACCTCCTTCTCCGGCACAAACTACGACGCGTATCACTTTCTCCCGTTTAACGAAGTCCTTGCACCCTCTGCCCTGCCACGACTCGATAAACGCGTCATTCCGACATTCGTTGTCGAGAAACGCGACGACTAGTCTGTCGATACTTTCTCAGTCTTTGGACACCCAACGGTCGACTATCGTCCACCAGGTCGGCTGATTTTCGTGGAACACGCGTGTCCTTGCTTATCATGCCCTTCTCGACCTTTCTGCTTCCCACTCGTTTGCTCCTCTTCTTCTGACCTCTCTCGCTCCTTCCTCCTCCTACTCAGCCGCCTTGATCTCTCCTCTCCTGCGAAGCGGATAAAAGGACAGGTTAATACGCGCAGGCATACGCCGATTCGTCGCAGCTTCGATAATAGACGAGATTATAAATGAAACGAGTAATGACGGTCGTTCATTCGTTACTATCCGACGGTTTTTACTCGTTTATTTATATCGTCACACGCGCGGGGAACGCGGTGCCTCCCGAGGAATTATTAATGATCAGTCAGGCCTTGTGCCATCGATGTGGAGTTCGCCAAGCGAAGGACTGCGAGAAATCGCACCGACTGGAAAATTCTGTCCTGAACAACGACGACTGAATCCTCTACGTGACACGGTGAGCATAAGTATCACCGTTGGAGTAAAATTCGTGATATAGTGAGAAATTCTTAAGGGAGTTTGCAGGTGAAGATTTCCAGAATGGGGGACGAATGGAAGACATTTTTAGGCTCAGAAAAACATGGTTCCACATAACGAATTAAATTCGATAAGATATTTTTTTAAACTAACATTAAATAACATCATCTTATCAAATTTGTACGCCTAATTCAGCATCCATATCCATTTAAAGTCTCTTGTAATCAATATTTTATCGTAAAACAAACAATCGAAGAATGTCAAGAAATAGAAACAGGATCGAATAGAGTTAATACTTTCAAATAATATACGGTTAATTTTTAACAACAAAAATAAGTTTCTCAAATTAGTAAATATATATATATCGATTAAATCACAATTAAATTGTAAATGTGGTCGCTGATAGCCTTGCAGTTGATGCGACCTTAAACAAAATAACTTATAAAAAAACATATGCTCTTGTCGCTGCACGAGTTTTTACCGGCGTAATGAGATTACACTTTGCTAAGATAAAATATGTATCGAGAAATCTGTCGTCTGTCGTCTCGTTTCGATTTCAGACATCACCGTTTCAAATATTTTACAACGATTACAGATTTAAACGCGGAATAAAACACAACAATTGCAAGGAAAATTGTATGCACGGGAATATATTCTCGCTCGATGATAAGGCTATTGGTACTGTTTATGATTCCGTGAATTTACCTTGGCAACACGCTCAACAAATATTAGAGAACACACGAGATATCGAATCGGCTCGTCTGTTATTACTTTTTCGTCTTTAATTACGAAAAAGGGACCCGATTTCATCATCGCGTTGCGTTTCACGTCGAGGAAACGTTTTGCAAATAACCACGGAACATCGACGATTGCTTTTCAATTACAGACGTGTATATTGAACCTCTTTAGAACCTAGTGTACATTATCATGTACATAAAAAGTAATTACTTTGTAATACAAAGTTTAAGTCGTGTGTTTGCATGGAATTGATTTCTATAGAAGTCTTTTGCGTGACAATGTATTGCATATACCAAAAATAGTTACGGATATTGCGAATAGAGATGTGGAATGTTTATTGGCTTCATAACCAAGTGATTTAAAAAGAAAAAGTAAGAAATATTTATTCAAGGTTTCCGATAAATTCTTTGGGAGTAATATTACAAAAATATTATAAAATCAAATTCAGATTTAAAATTTAATGAGAAAATGTCTAGGTTCATTGTTATTTACATCATCTTAGTTGCTTGCTAGGTGTATATTTTCCAAATGGATATGTATATTGTCCAAATGGAAAAATCGGCAATTATGTCTATAATAAAGTATTTAAAATAAGAACAAACAGTTCAACGAGTATTGCTTCGAATTGTGAAGCACGGAGCGTTAACGATTCGCTACGCGACGGGAATCGAAAAATACGTGTAAGCCTCCGAGCACTGCTCGTGCATTATGAAACTGACATAATGACCAGAAGAGGATTTCGCAAGCGCATACCTAGAAAGCGTTACGAGGCGTCCAGCACGAGCATGCGTTATCTCGGTTTTCGATATTGAAATTAAATACGTATTTTCCAACATCTACCTCACCCCGCAAACGAAAACGAAAATTATTTGTTACAATTGATCGAACGTTGTACAGAGTAGTTGTTACAGGTAGAAATCAAACGCCCATCTACGGTCCTGTTGTAATGTTCACAAATATGGCACGCATGCAATAAAGAGTTACCATTGTATCTGTTTTGAATAAACAATTGCTGAACTTTTTAGCAGTTGATATTCCTTTTCCTATATAATTTAGTACATGTTTGTAATATTCCGTATTACTGCTCCATTTTTCAGATTTTCTAATACCCTAGAAAAGACCAAAAACTAGGATCCTTTGAATCAAATTAATCTATAACGTATTATATACATTACATGGTCGTTATATTTATTGTTGATAAGTTATCTTCCATTGTTATACAATACGTAGAATACAGGATGTTTCGCGTAATTTTATTATCTGAATTATTTCCTGTATTGCCAGTGTTTCGATAAACGTTTTTCGTGGAAGCCGTATGATTTCACAAGTATCACCGTATATTCGACGATATTTCTATTCTGGAAGATGGGATCTTAATCGAAGCTTTAAGCATGACTTTCAATGACCTTGAATGACCTTGAGCGGTGGATCGTTGAACGCGTTCTGAGAACCGGTATCGCATATCGGTACATAATTTACATCGTGTACCGAGGTACACGACATACTATGTATATAATAAAAGACAACAAAGTAACTTTCATTTCACGCTAATTCTTCCATTTGGAATTGAAATATTTCGTACAACCTCAGCAGAAGACATTTCTTGAAATACTAGAAGTACAAAAACTATTTCAGATAAAAAAGTTAAGTCTAAAATTGAAAAAGAAATACTTATCAATTTAGAAATAAAATTATATCGAAAAGGAAAAACGCGACGAAATAATTTCACAAATCACGAATATAGAAATCAACGCGTCACTCGCTAAATAACAAGTTGGATAACAAATGATGAATGTGATTTCATTGTTTCGTGGTACTATCTTGAAGTAACTATTCCAGTCGCCACGTGTTAACACTTAGACGTAACCGCTTAAGGCAGTGATTCCCAAACTGTGAGCCGCGATATACATGTAAATATGTAAAATGTAATATGTAATATGTAAAAATGTAAGAGAAAGAAAAATAAATATTGGTAAAGTTTAATAATAAAGAAGTTAAGTCTTATGAAATAGTAACACTTATATTTAGTTAACTTGTGCCACAAAATGCAGTCTGTCTAACATATTTCAGATTAGTCTCATACTGATTGGTATTAAAGAAACTGACGAAAATAATCTGTATATTAATTGTAAGTAAAGGAGCTGCGGGTCTAAAAAGTTTGAGAACCTCTGGCTTAAGGGGCTATGCTAGTCTAATTGCTTCAAGAAAACGAGTTTTGTTGTGTTTTGCAAGAATTTTATGAGGAAGAGGAAGTTATATTATATGCCTCTGGAATAAGTGATTGACTCTAAGTATGATAAATTGTTTTGTACATCTCAACAAGTGGTATATGAAACTTTAAACGCGTTTTACTCGAAACGACAATATTCAAATTGCCTGCCACGATAACTCAAAGACTAATAAACCAATTGTCTTGCAACTTGGTAGATATGTTCTATAGACGTGTAATTATCGCCCGGAATAGGATATTTTCGATAAATGTAAAATTCGAATTTTGACAGCAAAGAAAACAATCCATTTTTAACGTAAAAATCAAAAATTTAATTTGAAATGCTGCCATTTTGTTCTTTTTTTAATATTTTAAAATCATCCTAGTTCAGACTATAATTACATTCATATAGAATAAAAAATATCTTTTCTTTTTTTCGGTTAAAGAACTGCAATTGTTTATATCACGACAGCCATAAACAGCAATTTCATTTGACAGTCCCTCGTAATCGCATTATAACTAGTTAACGAAACATTATTTTCACTTGAGAAAAATTCAGCTTATTATTTTAGTAATAATTAGCATACACACAATGTTGTAAAACAATACGTAGGATAATTATTCGTACAAAAAGTCTCAAGCATAGGACTAGTATAGCCCTTTAACAAAATACAGTCAATTCAATAAGTATTCGTAGCTTCTATATCTATTAAGATTTATCTAAATGAAGTGGTATAGGTAGGTTTCCAAATAAATTTTTTATTATAAATATGCACATAATTAACAGTACACATGTATGTATTTATAATGAAAAATTTATTTGTAAACGTCAAACCTATCTTTTAATTTAAACTTTATTCAATAGATATAGAGTGTACGAATACTTATCGGACTGACTCTAAGTCGAGGGTCTGACTTTGGTCAGTGCCATAAAATTCTCAATTAGATGTCCTGTATGAAGAGTATAATATAATTTTTTATTGAAATGGTACCTTCCTGAATAGACGGTTTTGCGTGAGGTACAGCCTGCCCACACGCAAGGCGCGGCCCTGATCATCGGATTTTTCAAAAAATTCAGGCCAGTTCGAAGTTAACGTGTTAATTTTGAAACGACCTGTATCTTCAGATCAGGTGTTCCATTGCGTGCACGCAAAGTCGCGACGGAAGAGCGTCGCGCGTTCCACGTATGCGTTATGCGCACACATATTGCATTACATATCGTATGAATGAACCGCGCGCGTCCCTGAATATATTTTGACGAACGATCGATCGACGCTTGGTTTACTGGCTCAAATTGTCCTCCCCCGCCACGCGCCTCCCACGTATCAGTTTCGTAAACAATGTAAACGCAAGCTCGCTGGAAATCTGCTGACGTCTCTGGATCTGTGCTTATTCAAGAAGCGAAATATGTTGTATTTCAATACGAAATGACGAATAAAACCAACGTATAACTAATTATTCGGTGTGAAATATTTTTATTTCTTCAAGGATCAAATTTTTAGCTTCACTTTTCTTTCGATTACTGGATTACGGATTTTATAAATGAAGAAAGAAATGTAGAGCATATTTCATGAAATAATATAGTAATATTAATATTTTTTGCGAGTAATTGTAATCATATGAAATGAATGTATAATATAAATCCGTTGACTAGCGATTACTGCGTTGACTGAGCGTGGACAATTTTTTGTTTACTGCTTATTTAAAACAATCGGAGGTAGATG